AATGGAATATGCCCGCGCGACCCTTGTGGACCCTTCCCGTATTATAGTTTGATCACTGACCTCAATTCTAGATTAAGAGGTGAGGAGGTCAATCTCTTCCCCTTGTTTTCCGAGGCAGTGTTGACAAACACTCGTCGAAAAGGGACTCTCGTCGATTCTATCTTCTTGTTTTGTGTGATATAGAGCTGAAATAAACGCCGTATGGATTGCCTTCGTAACACGGTATGTACACTTTGTTATTGGTATGCCATTTTTATTCTGACAGACTGCACGTCACTGTCGACCCCGGTCCAACCTTTCTTTGCCGAGTGTCGCGTCAGTATCGAGTTGCAATCGTAAAAGAACGGTCCCAAAGCGCTTACCAACAGCGCGAATACAAGACTTCCATCAAGCGCGCGCGTCCGCTCCGAGTGTAAGCAGGTATTTACGTGGCTCTTGCTGACACTCGTAGTTCAAACGTATCTTTTTTAACGTCGGCTCGCTCCTGCATCTCCGAGGCCGCGAAAAACGCCATCTACGTCGCTTTGCAAACGACTGACACGGGCCGGCCCTTCTGCCAACAATGACGGGGTGGTGACAAGACTCGCTGCACTTCCCAACAGGCATACCGGCGTATGGGACTAGTCCCATGCTGTCGCTGTAGCGCAACATATCTCATTGAATTTCGCTCAGCTGCGATGCGGCGATGAGAGGCGCCGATTCAGGAAATACGTCGGTGACATCAGCGCAGTAAAACCTACCGGCGCACCCCAACTCGTTGCCGCTAACACTCCCATTCTCCTACTGCCGAGAGAACTTCCGGTTCCGGAAACGGTCTACGTCACGGCTTCTTTTGCGGTCAGTTGGAGAGAATGAAAAAGTCGATATTTCAATAATTTTTTGTGTAAAAGTTAATAAACCGAGACGAAAACGGATGCCTGTTCGGCATTCAGTGAACATTGACGGTTTAATGTAAAAGTTATCTGGAAAAAGTAAAAAGGTCATTTCATGGTCCCTTTAATTTTACTTTATAACACCTTTAGTCGCATGAAACTATTAAAGTTGTATCAGGAAAGCGTTTGCGGTTGAATCATAAACTTATCTAGGGACTCCGTGGAGGAAACGTAGGGACTTGTACCTAGGTACACAAGCAAAAGCACGCGACCGCGGCCATGTCAGACCCTTTTTTGTCACATGTCTGTTCAGTAGCCTTCACGAAGTGGAAGAAAATGCCGCCTCAAGCTAGGCGTCAGTACAGTGCGGCGTTCAAGAGGAAGGTTATTTTGTTCGCTGAGGCGGCAAACAACGTCGCGGCGGAGCGTCACTTCGGTGTCTCAGAGAAGTGCGTGCGGGGATGGAGACAACAAAGGCAGAAACTTTTTGCTTGCGCGGGTGCGCGTCGGTCCTTTCGGGGCCCCAAACAAGGCCAGTACCCTGCGGTCGAGGAGGTTGTTCTGCGATGGGTCACGGAGCAGCGGAGCAGAAGCCTCAGCGTCTCGTACGACGACATAGAAAGCAAGGCGCGCGCTGTTGCCAACGAAATAAAAATTGGACGGAGCGAGTTCAAGATTTCAAAAAAATAGATCACGAACTTCATGAGGCGATGTGGCCTGAGTTTAAGAAGAAAAACAACAGTTTGCCAGCGGCTGCCCGACGCCTACGAAGAGAAATCGCGGGCATTTCATCGATACGTAACAGAAGTAAGAACGAAGCACTCCCTCATGCTCGGCCAGATCGGCAACGCTGACCAGACGCCGGTCTGGTTCGACATGCCGAGTAGGACGACTGTCACCGGCAAGGGAGAGCGCCAAGTTCCCCTCCTGACGACTGGGAACGAGCACAATCGTTTCACGGTCATGTTGTGCTGCACAGCAGACGGCCACAAGCTGCCTCCCTTCATCGTCTTCTAGCGGAAGACATTGCCAACTAAAGAAGTGTTTCCGCCGAAAGTTATTGTTCGAGTGAATGAGAAGGGGTTTTTTAATGAAGAGTGGTTTCGCCTCGTTTGGTGCAGGCGCCCGGGTGCGCTCCTGAAACCCCGGAGCATGCTCGTGTTAGACTCGTTCCGCGCCCACATTACGGATCGCGTGAAGAAGGCGGTGGCGAATGCGGGTTGCGACCTGGCAATCATTCCAGGCGGGATGACGTCGGCTCTCCAGCCCCTCGACGTGGTTTTAAACAAACCATTTAAAGATCGTGTTGGAGCATTTTACAACGAGTGGCTGAGCCGGGAGGACAACCCGACGACTCCGACAGGCCGAGTGAAGCGCGCGTCTTTAAGCACCGTGGCGACCTGGGTCAACGATGCCTGGTACGGATTACCGGATGAGATGGTTTGCGAGGCCTTTTCGAAATGCTCAATATCGACGCCGCTTCAGCCGACCGAGCGCGCTGACCCGGACTCTAGCGACAGTGACTGCGTCGTAGTGTCGAGCGATGATGAGTAAACCACCGTTTACTTCTGCGTGTAAATATGTTTCCATGCCAATAAACAAATTTTTCTAATTTCCCTAACTCGTATGAGAAAATTTTTTTTTCGTATCGTATTCTGAAGAAATCGACTTATATTCGGGAGTCGACTTATATTCGGAGTCGACTTATAATCGGCAATATACGGTAACTATGTCGCGGGAGTCGCGAAAATCCGCACCATAAGCGGTACCGCGCTATAACCAAAACATCAATTTTCCAGGCCAAAATACATGCCATGAGACAACTTACCTTCGTAAAAGAATTTATTTCATGATAAATGAAAAATAAAGCGTAGTCTGAGGAAAGTCGATCCTTATATCGCCAGACTAGTACACTTCTGTCAAGTGTCACACATTTTCAAAAAAATTGGTTAGTTTTGCCGGGCGCAGCCTTTTAACGACATTGCGGACGACCTGGTCTTCGACAACGCTAAGGCACTTTAACACCTCATCACTGAAGAGTTCTGCTCTCAGTGAACCTTCAGTTTCTGTAAGAATTCCAGTGCATCTTTACTTGAAACTTCCGGCGTGCTCTTCGTCGTCGTCCGGCTCATCTTCGGGTGGACTCGCCCCAGAACCTCGCACCGCTGCAACAATAGCCTCATCGGTGGTTGCTTATTCACGGATAAGAAAGTCGTCGTCATCCTCATCTACATAGTTTTGGAACGTGTCGTTTGCAGGAACAAAGTGGTTTTCCACAAGGTCGGACCACACGTCGTTCGCTCCGATCGCCTCGTCAATCGCATCACTGCGCAGATCGGCGTCTCCCGAATTCCCGGCATCGCGCACAAACCCTGCGTTGCGAAAACACTTCTGGATGGTCGTGGCCTTTATTTGCCACCACAACGCTGTGATCATGTCGATGGCGCCCCTCAAGTCCACCTTAAAGGTTCATCTCGTTGCAACTTCAAGACGACTCTTTTGCACATGCGCATCTTGTAGAGCACCTTGACTATAGCGATGACGCCCTGATCGAGAGGCTGGCTTTTAGCAGTGGTGTTTGCCGGCAGGAACTTCAAACTGACTGCGCTTAATTGTGGCTGCACATTGTGAGCGCTGCAGTTGTCCAGAATAAGGACGACGCGCCGTTTTTCTGCAACCATGGCCTCATCGAAACTTTTCAGCCAACTAGCAAAGAACTCTTGGGTCATCCAGGCCTTTCCATTTGCTGTGTACACCACAGGCAGACATTCTCGCTTCTTGAAGCAAGGGGGTCATTTTTATTTCCCGATGATAAACAAGCTCCGCTTGTCGGAGCCGTCCATGTTTGCACAAAACAAAACCGTGATACGTTCCCTTGAGACTGCGGCCTGAACAGGGCCGATCGCACTCTCATCGCGAGAGTGCGATCGGGAAGCGTGTTGTAGTCCAGACCAGCTTCACCGGCATTATATATGTCTTTGTCCGTGTACGCGGAAAGCATCTTCTCGAGATGAATGCAAAACCACGCCTGGATGCTGGCATCGTCGACTTCCCCACTTTCGCCAGAGATAACTTTGCAGCTAATCCCGTGGCGATCTTTAAACCGCTGGATCCATCCATTGAGGGAGTTGAAGCCTTCGTGTTCGAACAATTGTCCAAAAGACTTCGCTTTTGCTTGTAGCATCGGGCCATTCACTGGGACGTTCTTGGCTCGCACTTCCACACAGCAGAAACCGTCGTGTCAGCGACGTTGTACTTGGCCGCGACGGAAGCTTTTTTCATGCCACTTTCGACATTTTTGACGATGCTCTGTTTAGTTTCAAGAGACAGGGCTTGTTGTTTCTTGGCCATCCTGGGCTTGGGAGACGGAGAGATCGAGATGGACGGTCGATTTCCGCACGATATGCTTGACACGATCCACACGCGGTCCAAGCAGACGACGTGGTGCAAGTTTGCACACTGCAAGAAGCGAAACTAGGAACCATCCAGCTATCCAGCTTCCGTTCGGCGCGCGCGCGTGGTGTAAGAAAGGAGGTTGGTGTTGCGTCACTACAGCGAGAGGGTGAAATCGAAAGCGTGAAAGGCTTGGGAGTGGCTCGATGGGGCTTTCGGAGTTGAGCACGCGCGTGCGTGTGTCGGTCGCACTTCGCTACCTCGCTGCATTTGTAACTCGCGCGTAGTCATTGGTCTTCGCCTCTCTCTTTGCTTATTCGAGCAACCTCCTTACCATCCTTGCCCCCGCTTATGCCGCTTGCGGATAACGCCGTGGGCGCCGTTATCTAGAGTCGCACAGGGAAGCATGCTCGCTGCGCCGGTCAGTCAGCGGGGCCGGCGGGCTGTTCCAGAAACCGCACTATAGGGGAGAGTCGGGAGGAATGGGACGCTTTTCACAAATGCATTTTTAGTTTTGTTTATTTTGAACGCAAAAAGATGGTTGATGGATTATAGTACAAGTTGAAACAAGCTGCACAAATTCTGCGAAACACAGGTTACTGCCACTTCTAGAGCAACTGCAAAAAAAATAGTTTCTAACAGCTAAAATCTGTCCCATTCCACCCGTCCCTTCGGGTGGAGTGGGACATCCTTTGGGAGGAATGGGACGCCAGTAAAATATCGGTCTCAACGTCTTCAGCGGACATTAAAAGCCGATAGTTCCACATCAAACTTGAAGCAAGCTTGGAGGCGCTTCGTTCCCCCAATAGTTTTTGGCGCTGGCAGCTTCTTCACAATATCCGTTATTGGCACAGTCCCTATATCTTTCTGCGGAGGGAAGTAAAACTTTGAGCTCTCTTCTTTCTTTCGAAGGAACTGGACACTGACGTCAGTATTGTCACTACTTTCGACTCTACCCGTGTAATACACGTCAGATTTTTTCTTACCAAATCTGACAAGGACAAAATCGCCTTTTGTCACTTGAAAAGTTTTGTTTGGGCAATCGGCCTCAGAAATGTCCCGCCTCTCATTATCGGAACCCGACATGTCACTGTCTGGATCATCAAATGCAATGGCAACAGTGTCGTCTTCCCTTGAAGAACTGAACTCTTTCTGAAGTCGCCGTTTCTTTTTTGGGCGGGTAGTGGCGACAGTCTTAGCTGTGATAAGCGCTCTTTTTTTCAGACTCTGTCGTACCAGCCTCTGTGCAGCTTCTTGTTCAATCGCGTGCTTCTCGGGTGTATCCGTAAGGACTTTTGTCCTACCTTTCTTCCTTCCTTTTTGCCCTGTCTTACGCGGTGCAGCCTTAGGGTAGGGCCTTAGGTCGCTCTGAACAATCCGGCTGGGAGATGCAGTTGACGTCGAGGCTGCGTTGGCGACAGTAGGTGGGAAGGCATCTGTAGAGACGTTGCTAGCTCCATGGCCGTTTGTCTCAAAGTTCAAATCACTTTCCAGTCGGCTTGCGCTGTCCGTTTTCTCGGTGATGGTGGCCGTCTGTCGTGACAGCTCTCCGCTTACGGACGTTAAGGGTCTGTCAGTGAGTGATGACATCATGTAGTCATCCGAAGTGAAGGGCTCGCTATTGAAAGGCCAAATTCCAGTTTTCTGAAAGCCCCAGATTATGTTCTTTTGTGTCACCGTTAATACGTAGGCGGATCCAACTAGTTGTGCAACATTGTGGATGGAGATGGTCTTCCCGGGGTTATTTATGAGCCAATCATTGCAAGCAGCGTTGTACCGAGATTTAAATGGTTCGTACACGGACACATCAAGTGGCTGCAGGCGGTGGCTACAGTGTGGGGGAAAGGTCAGCAGGATGACTCCACTCTCTTTGGCCTTGTTGATGGTGTTGATGCTCACATGGCTTTCATGATTGTCGAGTATCAAGAGAATTGGCTCCTCCTTCGAGCACTTCGTATGTCTCACAGTGTGCTCTAACACCAGCAAAAACAGTTCGCTCGACATCCAGCCCGACTTGCTTGCCAAACCGAGGCTTCCTGCCGGGGCGCCTTTCAGAAAAAAATCTTTAAACCTCACGCGTGGGAAAATGAACACTGGTGGCAGGGCGTTTCCGATGGCATTGACAGTGCACAAAACAGTCACCAGTTCGCCGCGTTCTGCGGATGTAACCTGACCGATTTGCTTTTCTCCACGTGCTGCTACTACCTTTGGTGGGTTGTGTGCAGTTGTGAAGCCCGTTTCATCACAATTGTAGATGCGGTCCGGAGTTAGCTTGTATCGGTCGTAGACACTTTTCAGGTTTGAAAGGAAAGCATCGACGTTGTTCTTATTGAAGCTTGTTGCCCGACCCAGACTGGTCGCTTCTGGCGATCGAAGCGATAGCTCGGGATGGCGGTTCATAAAGCCCATAAACCAGTCTCTTCCAGCTACCTTCTTCTGTTCCCATGACGCCGGGCACTTCCTCTTTAAGGCTGTTGCAAACTCGTACGCCAGTGAACGAACTTGCATTCTCGTAAGCCCATAATGCTTTTTGCTTGCTTTCAGCAAATATTCTTTCAAGAGTACTTCATCTTCTGTTGTGAAGACCATTCCGCGGACCAAATTGGACTTGAACATGATGCCACCTGTGTCACCGCATTCTCTGTACTTCTTCACTGCTCGGCCAAGCGATGATTTTGATATTTCAAAAGCTTCTGCTACGTCTCTTATACTTTTCTTTTCATCGCACACCAATCTCACACCATCCAGGATCAAATTGTTCGATGTTTGAGCTCTGTCGGGATGCTTCCTCTTGTAAACCCACCCCGCAGGGGGCACCTGTGAAAGCAGGTGTTTGGAGAGTGGCGTCTCCACGGACCCCGAGCCATGCGGGTTCGCCTGCCCACGTCTGACTGTGCGTGGCTTTCCCGTGTCTGGGGAAAAGGGCATCCTGGTGGTTGAGCCAAGCCTGGGGTAGGTTTGGACCCTTCGGGGCCCCCCGGGCGAGGCAATACACCACTTCGGCCCCCGCTTCTCATAGACGGGAGTCCTGGTAAGGCCCGGCCAGGATGATTCAGTCTAGTCGCCACTTCTACTATCCCCTCTCTACTTTCACCCTTGTCTGCTCCTCCTTTTCACTCTTCTCATTCCTCTTCTTTCCTTTTTCAACTCCTTTGGCGGCAAGGGCTAACCTTGGGTGGCGAAAGACCTCTTGTCCAAAACCACACTTGGTTATAGAGACTGGGCAGCACTAATAGAGTAACGTCTTCAGCCAAGCCCATCTTGTTATGAAGCGTTACCTATTCCCTTGTTGGGCTCGGTGGTGGGCGGTGCACCACAGTTTCCGAACACCATTCCCCTCTTATGGGTTCCAAGCTGAAACAACCTGATCGGCCTCCGAAAAGAGGCCGGACCGAAGCACTTTCAACATTTCTAAAACAAGACAACTCAGAAGACCACTTTACAAGATTTTTCGTCTTACACTCCGACGACACTTCTAAGCCGCTGTCAAAACTATCTCCATTCCTTGTCGCCAAAACTCTCCAAAACACGCTCGGGGCAAAATATGAAGCAAAGAAGCTTTTTTCCGGTGACCTTCTTGTCGAGATTCATGAAAGATATCAGGCAACTGCTTTGCTTAATCTGAAAATGATCTATGACCTCAAAGTCACTGCATCTGCACACCGTACGTTGAACACCATTCGCGGTGTGATATCAGAGGATGGTCTATTAACCAGTTCTGAAGAGGAAATCGTGGAGGGTCTAAGCACTCAAGGTGTCGTGGCCGCAAAACGAATTAAAATTCGTAAGGATGGTGAGGAACGACCCACCAAACACGTGATACTAACATTCGAGAAAAACTCGCTGCCCCCTACTGTAAAGGCGGGTTACATCAACTGCAAAGTGCAGCCATATGTCCCGAACCCGCTGCGCTGCTTTCGCTGCCAGCGGTACGGTCATGGTTCACGAGCGTGCCGTGGTCGTGAGACCTGTGCCAGGTGCAGCGGAACTGACCATACCGCTGATGACTGCAACCTTGACTATAAATGTGCAAACTGTAACGCCGACCATCCTGCCTACTCTCGATCATGTAACTACTTTAAAAAGGAAAAAGAAATACTTGCTCTCAAGGTGAAAGAAAACATTTCCTACCAGGATGCAAAGCGCCGCCTCTCTGCTTTCCAGAGAGGCTCTTTTGCCGAGGCGGTGTCCAGCAGAGGACCTGTACCGTCTAAGGTATCGGTGGCGACCCAGGTGTCTTTTTCAGACCACGGGAAGCCGCTGCAGTCCTCTACGCCCAGGCTGAAGCTTGCGCTTCCTGGGCATTCTATCTCAGCTGCGAAAGCAGCAGATCCAACTAGTCGCACCAAGGACATAGGTGCCGCAGCAGCAACGGAGGTCACGCCTTCGTCCCTGCCTCCTGGTCCCTCCCCTCAGGCAACGGAGCGAGTGTCTCGCTCCTCCTCCCCGGGGAGAACTTCCCCGTCTAGGAGGCAGCACGTGCCACGTGCAACCGACGATACCGGCGGGACTGCGAGCCGACCTAGCACGTCGACCGCTGCCCCATCAGGTCAATGCAGGGGCCGTGGGTTGCCCTTACGATCCGTAGACAACTCCAAGGCCTCCGGTAAGCCTGCCAAGAAGTCCCTAGAAGCAGAAAAAACTGTAGAGGCAGGCGACCTTTCTGCCCCAGAGCCAGAACCAGAGGATATGGAGTGGCAGACCCAGAAACCAAAACATAAAGGGAAAACACCAGTTTTCCCTCCTAAATGAAACATCACATACATCACCCCTTTTTTCTATCACTCCTCTGATAGTTAAATTTGTATAAAGAATGACGGCGATCATCCAATGGAATTGCCGAGGTCTACTGAGGAACTTCGATGATATTGAGTTCCTCCTGGAGCAACACCGCCCGCAGGCTTTATGTTTACAAGAAACACATCTCAGTTCAAAGCATACTAACTTTCTTAGACGCTACCATATTTTTAGAAAAGACCGAGAGGATGCGTGTATTTCTGCAGGAGGAGTTGCAGTGGTTGTCCCAAAGCACCTTCCCTGTTCCGAAATCGCTCTTAATACTGCGCTAGAGGCAGTAGCGGTGCGTCTCCTCCTTCACAAAGTAGTGACTGTTTGTTCCTTATACATTCCTCCTTCTTTTACTTTTTCGACAAACGATTTTAATGATATTTTACTCCAACTCCCGGAGCCCTTTCTTTTACTTGGAGATTTTAATGCCCACAACTCTCTATGGGGTAGCGACCACGTTGACGCCCGTGGTCGAATGATTGAGTCAATTTTAATGTCGCATGCACTTTGCCTTTTTAACACTGGAGAACCGACCTATTTTAGCCCATCATCATTATCGTCCTCATGTATTGATCTTTCCATCGGTAGTGCATCCATTTTTACTTCTTTTACGTGGGCAGCAGGCACTAACCCATATGGAAGCGATCACTTTCCTATTTTCTTAAAGAACACCGTTCCTCCAAAATGCATGCCAACGCGAACTGTCCGTTGGAAGTTTGAGAAAGCGAATTGGTCTCTTTTCACTGAAGCGACACAACTTGCATGCACGTCACTTGATGAACTTTCTGTCGACCAAGTTACAGAGTTGCTGAGTAATTTTATTCTTCAAGCTGCAGAGCTTGCTATTCCTAGGACTTCTACGCATCTCCCGCGGCGGCCCAAGCTGTGGTGGAATGAAGAGTGTACTGAGTCACGGAAAAAACAAAACAGAGCCTGGGGTATCTTTCGACGTTACCCCACGCAAAGCAACCTCCGCTGCTTTAAGCAAATGAAAGCTCGGGCAAGGTACATCCGACAACAATCAAAGCGTAAAAACTTCCAGGAGTATGCCTCTTCCATTAATAGTAGTGCAACAGTCAAAGAAGTCTGGGACAAAGTTCATCGCATTGAAGGGAGATATCATGCCTTCTCAGTCCCACTCCTCTCCTACAATGGCATCTGTCCGGAAAGTCTAAAGGAGCAAGCGGATCTTCTCGGTGAGCATTTTGCTCTTGTATCGAGCTCCGAACATTATTCATCTACATTTCTCGCATACAAAGCACGTGCAGAATCACATGCTGTGAAGACAGCAGGTGCCGCCCATGAAGACTACAATCTACCTCTTACGATGCGTGAACTCGAAATGGTCCTTCACTTAACTAAGCCTTCGGCTGCAGGACCTGATGGCATACACTACCAGATGTTAACACACCTTCATCCTTCTACATTATTGCTTATTCTGTACCTTTTTAATCGCATATGGGACGAGGGCAAATTTCCTTCGGCATGGAAAGTAGCCATGGTTGTTCCTATTTTAAAACCTGGTAAGGATCCTTCCTCTGCATCAAGCTATCGCCCTATCGCCCTTACTAGTTGTTTGAGCAAGACTTTTGAGCGTATTGTGAACAAAAGACTTATGCACTATTTAGAAAAAAAGAACATATTGGATAGGAATCAATGTGGGTTTCGTTCCTATCGTTCTACAGTTGACCATTTGGTTCGTCTTGAGACCGTAATTCGTGAAGCTTACGTGAACAGACAGTTGTGCGTGTCAGTGTTTTTTGATATGGAGAAGGCATATGACACAGCATGGCGCCATGGAATCCTCCGTGATTTGCATGAAGTTGGGATACGAGGTAGGATGCTTGCTACCATCAATAGCTGCCTTTCTAATCAAACCTTTTTGGTGAAGCTAGGAGCATCTTTCTCTAAAGAATTCGTCCAGGAGACTGGGGTCCCTCAAGGGGGAGTCCTCAGCGTCACTCTCTTTTTGGTAAAGATGAACTCAATAGCCCGTTCCCTACCTTCCTCTGTGCAATACTCACTCTATGTTGATGACCTTCAAATCTCTGTTTCATCGTGCAATCTTTCTATTTGTGAACGGAGGCTTCAAGTTGCCATCAACAATCTCCTAAAGTGGGCGGATGAAAACGGCTTTAGTTTCTCTCCGGAGAAGACGGTTACTGTCTGTTACTCCCGTATACGGGAAGTCCCTGCGGTTCCTTCTCTATATATGCGACAGACCCCTATCCCGGTGAAAGTAGATCACAAGTTTCTGGGCCTCACTTTCGACCGCAAGCTTTCGTTTGTGCCTCATATAAAAAGTCTGAAGTTAAAATGCCAGAAATCACTGAACCTCCTTAAAGTCTTGTCCCACAAAACATAGGGCTCTGACCGTCTATGTCTTTTGCGAATCTATCGCTCGGTAATCCGCTCACGCCTGGACTATGGCAGCTTTGTGTACGGATCTGCTAGGCCATCAGCTCTTAAGGCACTTGATCCCATCCATCATCAGGGACTTCGCTTGGCAATAGGTGCCTTCAGAACGTCGCCTGTGCTCAGTCTCTACGCTGAGGGAAATGAGATGTCCCTTGACAGACGCCGATTCTTCTTAGGATTTATGTATTTAATAAGAGTACGATCAGTCGCTCAGCATCCAGCCCGGGAGGCAGTGGAGGGCACGAAATATCAAAGGACATTCGAAAACAAGCCTAGCATTATCCCTCCATTCGCGATGAGAAATAGGAATGCGGCAGAGTCAGTTGGGATAGACAGTAAGCTTTCAGTTGCCGCAGTTCCAAAAACGGTGGCACCATGGGATTTCAGCTGCATACGTTGCGATTTGTCAC